ATCTGAATACACTACATAGTATTTGCAGGATGAATCTGGGTAACAATACTTTTGTGTTAGAATTCCTAGGGACCTAACTACACATATTGTATTTGACAGACTGCAGACATCACCAGCATCCACTCTCTTGTTATGTATTTGGAAATAAACTATTTTGGTATTTTGCAGTTGAACTTCCCTATCATTCAACATCATTAGAAAAACCATAATTTCAACCTAGCTCATTCTAAATATACAGCCAAGACAAGTGGCAGCTTACATGTTATTAGGTTGTATTTTTAATGGGGGGAGAGAGAAGGAGGTAAATGCTCCCTGCGCATAGTAAATGTATTTCAAGTATCAATTTTCTATCCATTGACAAATGAGAAAATGCTGCTTTATTTTCTCTCTTTTGTTGGTAGGAAAATAGAAGGCATTCAAGCAGAGATGGTATGATGCTGAGAGCTTCATCAACTCCTCTAAAGATCATTTGTACTCTTCTGTTGTAATTTTGACTAATTTTTCATGTGTGCCTTGTGAAATCAGAGGAGTGACTGTTGCTGGGACATAGCACATGTTTCAGCTGGCCACAACAGTGCTTCCAAGGCTGCCAAATAACTTGTGAGTAGATATGAATAGAATTATTCCTTTTTTTCATCATAAAAATGAGTGGCCATCATTTAAAGCAAAGAATTCAGATTAAACTTTGTGTAAAATTAAATAAATCTGCAAGTGAGACACTTGAAATGTTAAAAGTGGGTTATGGTGAAGAAGTAATGTTAAGAGCAGGAGTTTTTGACTGGCATAAAAAGTTTCAATAAGGTAGAGATGATATCCATGATGACAAAGTGGTCATCTAGTCACCCACAGAACACAGGAAAATGTTGAGAGGGGCAGAAATTTAGTTTGCTCAAATAGCCAACTAACTGTAAGAAAAACGTTGACAATTTAAATTTAGGTAAGGAAACAGACTCGTTGTGAAAGAAAAGTTGCTCTTGATGAAAATTTCTGGCAAGATTATACTGTTGTGGTCGACGAGTCTGTAGAAACCAAGCCAAAATAGAGCTGCACAGGAGTCTGCCACTGGAGTGTATGTTCAGGGTACAATACTACCGTGTTTTTGTCATTGGTCTTGGAGAAACTTCAGGCTGAAGCTAAAATGAGCTGAACTTCTTCAAACATTTTTTACTGGTTTTGTAGGCACGTGATTTAAGCAGAGTGCAACCTGTAGAGCTGAGTGTGACGAAGTATGTAGAGAACATGGAGCTAGAAGTTTATTAGGAGGAACCTAGCAAACTGTTACCGAACTAACATGTCTACCTTACTTCTTCAAGTCGAGCTCATAAAAGTAAAAAAATGAAGACCTGATTTTGGTCAGAAGTTCACAAAACCTTCTACTCTTTTTGTAATCTAAATCCCAGTTTTAAATATGTTTATATATAAATTGTTCAGGTTTGGAATTTGGTATGAAAAGTAGACAAATAGGGCTCAGTTTTGAACCTTTCATCAGGAGAAGGAGGTTGAGAATGGTTTTCACATTTTCCATGTACTACTGAGTGGGGTTGGGGGTGTCATTTCATAAGCTTCCGTTCTAATAGTATTCATCAAAGAGAAGGCATTATCTTGAATATCCCTAAGACCATAAATGGCTTCAGGAACATTATGGTCAAATTGGTTGGTAGTTTTGCTGAAACTAATAAAAAAGAGTTGGTAATTCATGTTAGAATTGATACAGATATGACATTCTTATACAGAAATAACAGGTAAAAATGGTTTCACATGAAATAAATTTTGATAAACCTAGAAAAGAATGCAAGGGAAGGAATTTGGGGTATCTTTGTCCATTAACATTAGCATTTTAGTCAAGGGGCTAGTCGAATCACGCATTCTTTCTTCCCGTAGGAATACATTTTGAGTTCAACAAGCATGAACTTCTCAATCAGAAACTTGGATTCTCTGTCCCAGTTTCCTTCCCAGTCTCTAGTATGACGCAGCATCATTTAGTATCGCTACTGCTGCAATCTAGATACACCAAAATTACAATCTGTAGGACTTAAGTCAAAGCCCAGCGGTAGTGACCCTAAGGCAACTCGTTTCATTAGTTATACTATTTGTTTTTTAAAGCCTCCCAGAAATCCAAGTTTATATTTTATGGAATAGGAGCCAAAACTAATTGAGGCTGATTATGGAAAAATTGTCTCGTGTTCACGGTCTCTGTTGCCTGTGGGACACTGCTGGCTAAAACTGTATGGCCCACAAGGCAAAAATTGTGGTAGTTAGAATAGTTTTTCTTTTTTTCTATTGTTCCCGTCACTGATTTTTACAACTTGACCTTTGGATGGTGTTTTGGACTGTGTAGTGAAATTTATATGTAAGTAAGTGACATTCCAATAAACCATAAATTAACTTTTTATATTCGTTTTGATAACCTGTATTTGCTAGTCCTTCATATTTTAGCCACATGTTCATGCTTTAAATCTAAATAAATTTTAAGTTCATTGCCATACTTCTGAAATTTTTTTTCTTGACTAATGAATAGAGAAGATCTACCCCTACTTCCCTACCCATAAGCACTAAGGAAAACAGCGCAGGAGGCAGTGTGATGCGCTAGGTTCCAGCTCCCACTCTATCTGTGACCGTCAGCTCTCCGCCTGCATCAGAGGAAGGTATTGGCGGGACAGAAGGCCCTGATGAGGTGACTTCAAATGCTAAGTAGGTGAAAGGAGGCAAAATTGAGAGAAAACAGTCCTAAAGTCTTAATAGGCTACAAACCAAGTTCTAACAGAACAAAGCAAGCATAAAATACCACATCAACAGTGGTCCAGTGGAGGTGAAAATGGGCCAAGAAAATGACAGTTTTCCAGCTACTGCCAAGATGAAAGATGTAAACTATGTGTGTTAAGTCTGACTTCACTCTAGCAAGTTTCCAAGAATAACCACTGGTTTCAAAAGCCTCCATTCCACTGAGTCCTAGTGGTAGTTCTTTGCCTTGGCCTGAGTGTACAGGTGGAGACCTGGGTCTGTCACAGATCCCCCCTCTCCACTACCCAACGTCATCAGGGTAGCCCTGTTTATACTTTGGTTTTCCAAATAATTTTGTGTGTGTGTGTGTGTGTGTGTGTGTGTGTAAAGGATGTTGCCTAGTTTGGAGCCCACTAGACTAAACAATAGCAGGTGAAAGGTGTGAGCAGTTTTATAGCAGTTTTATTGTGGGGGAAACAGGGAATTTATTTTTTTTAAAGGTGCTTCACAGAGTACAGAATCCGGAATTATAAAGATACTGGAACTGCACTGTTCAATGACAACCATTAGTCACATGTGGCTGTTTAAATCAAAACTAAATAAAAATTCAGCTCCCCACTTGCATTAGCTACATTTCAAGAGCTCAGTAGCCACATGTGGCTAACAGCTACTGCACTGGACAGCAGGCAATGGAACATTTCCACGACTGCATACAATTTTTACTGGCAGTATTGTTCTAGAGATTATATGGTGCAGCCACCTTGTTTTACAGAAGAAAAATCTGTCAAAACCTAGAGAGGGTGTAGGAGGCTGAATAATGGCCCTCAAAGATACCAGGTCCTAATTGTAACCTGTCAATGCTACCTTATTTGGAAAAGGGTATTTGCAGATGTGATTAGGTTAGGGATCTTAAAATGGGAAGATCATTTTAGATAATCTCTGTGGGCCCTAAATTGAATCACAAGTGACTACAAAGGGAGGCCAAAGGAGATTCCACGCACAATGCTGGCCTTGAGGATCCGAGTGATGCTAATTCAAGCTGAGGAATGCTGGTAGCCACAAAAAGCCGGAGACTCCAGAACAGAGCCCATCCACCCCCGCCCCCAGCCTCCCGAGGGAGCATACTATTACACACAAGTACATTAGTTTTCTAGTCCTTGGTTACCTCCACTTGCTTTCTGCTCTGTGACCTGGAAAGTTACTCAACATGTCTCAGTTTCCCCTCCTATAATGTGGGGATGATAAAAGATATATTTTTTAAAATCCTCACCAGAGGACATTTTTTCATTTATCATCAGATAGAGTGGGAGAGAAGGAGGGAGAGATAGAGAGAGAGAGAAACATCGATGTGAGAGAGACACATCAATTGGCTGCCTCCCATATGACCCTGACCAGGGCCAGGACCTTGACCGGAATCAAGCTCACAACTCTGTTCCGCAGGCCAATGCTCCAACCGCTGAGCCAAACCAGCCAGAGCAAACGATATTTTTTAAAATATATATTTTTATTGATTTTTAGAAAGAGAAACATCCAAACATGGATTGGCTGCTTCCTGCATGCCCCCTACCCGGGAAGGGGCCCTCAACCCTGTCATGTGCCCTAATGGGAATCTAACCAACAACGTTTCCGTGCACAGGTCATTGCCCAACTGAGCCACACTGGCCAGGCGGATAAAAGGCACTTTGAGGATTAAATTTGTTAACAGATGGTAAACTCTTGAACTTTTCATATACTCCAATTTTAGTCCACTAGTTTTATTCTGCTTGTTTGCTTATAGTGGTCACACCTGGCTGATCGCAGTCTCCTTACCTACACTGTAAACGGGTGCATAGAGAACAGGAGGGAGGCTGGTGCTCGCAGGTTTAGGAGGGGCCCTGGGCTCGGTGAGAGAGCCATGGACCCCGCTTCCCTTTAAGCTTGTGGTTGGTAGGACAGTCATCACACAATGGGCTAGTGTAGTTGTAGGAAAGGAAACCTCTGGGTCTCGGCCCAGCCCCTGGGGTAACCGCTAGGGCCTCCGCAGGAGGGTCCCGGGAAAGGCACGTAGGCTTTAGAGAATCAGATCCACAAGGGCCAGGGCCCGGGGAAGCGGCAGGATTCGGAGGTTCCCAAAAGCAGGCCCCGCGCAGGCCCCGCGCAGGCTCCGCTCGCCCTCCCGCCTAGAAAGAACCGAGAGCTGGGCTCGCCCCGCCCCGGTCCGGAGCCTTCCCAGGGATTGGCTGCCCCCCGCACCGCCCTCTGCCCCGCCCCGAGCCGCCTAGGTCTCTGCGGCGCGCGCCAGACCCTGGCCTTTTAGTCTCGTGGAGTTCGGCGGTGAGTGTTCCTCCCCTGCCCCGTCCCATGCGGTCCCATGCGGTCGGGAGGTCACCTGGCGGGCCGCGGCCTGGGTGGGGCTGGGCTCTTCCCGGGTCCCCTCGAGCTTTGCCCACCCGGAGCTCCTCTGCTCCCGGCGGCCAGAACAGAGGGGTAGAGTAGCCCTTGGCGACCCGGGGGGACGGGCGACCTTGCCCGTCCCGGCGTCGCGCGAGGCACAGACACAGCGCGGAGCCGCCTGGAGGGTGCCCGCGGGCAGGCCCGGGCGCGGTAACAAGTTTGCGCTTTGCTTCCCCAGGGCGCAGCTGCGGTTAATATGTAGCGGGTTGGGGTTGCGGTCCCAGACTGACCCTGGGCCCAGGAGTTTGTCTCCAGAGTCTGCGGGGGTGCAGCGGCCTGAGTTCCAAGCGCAGGTATGTCCCCGTCCTTGAGGTGAAATGAAATGGCCCGGGCCCAGAGCACGTGGCAAATGGCGACCAGCGGGCTCCTGGGCGCTGGTTTGGTGCAAAGGCCGGAATCTGCCGCTCTAACGTCAAGGAAATGCACATTTCCGGGAACTGCAGCTAATCGGTTTCAGACTAAAGAAACCGCGGAGATCCACTGGGTACTGACAAAAGAGTGTAGGGAACTAGAGGACCCTGTAAAAAACCTCAAGTCTCCCTTTCTTGTGCCCTTTTAAGGTTGACACAGTGCCTTAGGAGGCTAACACAGAAGGGTACAGTAAGTCTCCATAAAACCCAGAGAAGAGATGGTAAAACTCCTCTTTGGATCCTGTCTGGAGTCACAGCTGAACAGAAGAAAATTTCCTTTCAGTTTGAGCACCTTTGTGTTATTTTTAGTAATTAGCAAACTGATCAATTTAACCTTACCTTTGATGATACCTTCAGGCATGCTTTTTAAACTCAGGAGATATCACCTAGTATTTTCAAATAGTTAAGGGTATTTGGATACTTGGGTTTTGGGATACTTTGGTGTTCTTTAAGGTGGAAAAAAAATCTGGATAATGGAACAGGGTACTTCAGTTGGGATCTCCTTTGCATCATCCCTAATCTACAACTATTATCCCTAAAAACTGATCCTTACCCACCCCCAAACCTGCTCAACCAGATCTCCCTAAACAAGAGACTCCCCAAATCCCAATATTGCCAGGGAAGGCCCCATAAAGATGCTAATCTTTTATTCAGCCTGTTAGAGGGCAATTGTATCACTCTAACACGATCCTTGACATGCACTACATTTTTATCCCAAAGGGCGCTCCTTATTCCTTGAAAGAATTAAACAGTCTCTACATCCCCTCTAATTGACACCTAACTGCAGCCCAGAGATTCCAGCTCTGTGGGACCAAATTCTCCAGGGGAAGGGGAAGCCATGCCTGGGGGAAAGGACTATACAATTAACTGGAGAACTCCCCATCCAAGGGAACTTACTGGATCTTCGGATCCCATGCCTACCTGGCTTTGCCCCTGAGTGAAGAGGTATTTGCTCTCTAGGCTGTGTCATCCCTGATAGCTCCAAAGCCTGGGATAATAGCCCCCTTTCCCTCTCATTCCCCTGGCCATCCTCCCGGAGGGCCCTGCTGGCACTGCCCCGGAGGAACCTCACTGGGACTCCAACAGCGCTTATCCCAAGAGACAGGAGAAATCTTAAAAATACAAGAGCTCTTGACCTTACAGCAGCAGGTGGTGGTACCTGTTTATGCCTGAAAGAAGAAGGTTGCTTTTATATCAGTAAATCAGGGCAGGTACAACAAAACATACAAGATACCCTGGAAAAGGCAGCAACATACAGACCTCTTGGCCGCTCCGACTTTCGCGGCTTCACTCTATCGCTGTTTTTTCAAATACTAAACCTCCGTGGCGTGAAGCTGCGAAAGTCGAAGCACCAAGTGGCAAGGGATGACTATATAAATAAAGAATCCTACTGGGCGGAAATTCATTAATTGCGGTAGAGTCTGGAACTGATTAACCACGATAACGAAGGCTGACTGTAGTGGGGACTCTGGAATACCAAATCTGTGCTTCTCTCCCCTTTCCTGCACCCGTAATTATCGTCGTGCTCCTGCTAATGTTTGGACCCATGTTACCCAATGTATTCAACAAATTCATTTCTTCTTGTAGAGCAGCCATACAGCTCCAGATGGTGCTGTCTGAAGGATACCGAGTCCTAACCCCCACGGAACAGCCTCCTTATTCCAGGCTGCTGGATGAATATCGGCAACCACCTCCCTCAGCTGACAGCAAGTATGAGAACCTAAAACCCCCAACGACCCTGATCAGCTTGAAGCAGCCAGAGCAGTCTTCTCCCAAAAGACCCGAAAGAGTTGGGTTTCCATAACTTCAGGAGGGGAAATGTTAGGTAGGAAACGAGACATGAGCAGCTGGGGTGGGGTCTGGCCCTGGGTCCTGACAGGGGCGGACAAACATTGCCTCCTGACCACCTCTCTTGCCAGCCCGCAGTTTCGGCACCAACTGGGTCTCGGAGCAAGCCAAAGGTTAGGTAGTGGCTCGAGAGCCTATGACATGTATGGGCCTGAACACGAAGCCTTATGTGCAACTTTTTGGCTCTGTGACCCCCGGAAAGTCATTTATCTCTCCTGAGATTTAGTGTCCTCGTGTAACAAATATTGATACAGATTTGGCCAGTGACGGGCAGGAGTACGACACATCACTGTAGAACTAATAAGAATATAAATATAAGCTCTTCACAGTATTTACATTGAATCTACAGTTCTCCAGTATTTGGCCACAAAAGGAGCATATGTCAGCATGATCGTTTTTTTTCTTTTTTCTTTTTTTAATGCATATAGCATAATATAAGAAGGGAGATAATGGATACAATGGTGCTAAATAGAATAGGAAAGTACAGGAGTTAATGGGAGAGTTTTCATATGGGAAGAAATGTGACTAGCAAGATGAACACAGCCCAGTATGTGCTAGAAGTTCTTCGTGTTGTCCATCACTGCAACGACCTCATTTTCCTGAAATCTTAAATAAAGGTATTTAATGCTCACCTTGGAGTCCTTAATGCTTATTTCATAATGCCTTTCTTCTAAACTCCCTTTTTTGATATTTCATATTCTGTAAAATCCAGTCTTATAACTTTTATAGGTAATTGATTCGCCAAATGTTAGAGGGAGAAGGGCATGTATATAGGAAGTGGAGGGCATGGTTTCACATAGGGCTGACTGGGGAAACTCCCAATACAGAAGACCTGGAGGCCCTGTGATGCTGTCATAGTATTTATTGTTTGTTCATTCCTTATACCCTATTTTAGTTAAAAAAGAATTTGAATGTGTTACAGTGAGATTTGGTTGGAACGTCCGCACACCAAAAGGTGTCATGGGTTTGATCCCTGGTCTGGGCACGTGCAGAATGCAACTGATCGATGTTTCCCTCCCCTCTCTAAAAATCAGTTAAAAAAAGATAAAGTCTACCTGGCCTGGGTGGCTCAGTGGTTGAGCGTTGATCCATGCACCAAGAGGTCGCCAGTTTGATTCCCAGTCAGGGCACATGCCCAGGCTGTGGGCCATATCCCCAGTGGGGGTCATGCAGGAGGCAGCCAATCCATGTTTTCATGGATATTTCTCTCCCTGTATAAAATCAATAAAGGGGGGAAAGATCAAGTCTAGGGCTAGTACGACAAAATATAATCCGTTAAGTTCTGTACATTTGCTAGAAGGTGAAAAATTTTGCTCTGAGCTGTATGACCATCAATGCAAAAGTCAGAAATAGAGTTAAATGAGACACTCAAAAGAAAGGCCAGTAATCCTGAAAGAAATTTTCTCTGTAGTTCTTCATAAAGGAACTGTGACCGACCTCAATATCAGTAACCTAAAAGGAATGTGCTTATCTTTTAAACTTTCAGGTGTCCAAGATAATTGATGCCCAGGCAGAGTATTTCCTAACCAGGGTGATTTAGCATGCTTAAACTCAAGAGTTTTTTCCCAAGTCTTAATCCTGTGGCAAGAAGGTTAACAGCATGGATTTGACAAGAAAACTAGATTCTGATGAAACAAGTAGGTCACGCTTGACTGTAACCTGGAGATTAGTGACTAGGCAGACAGAAGGCTTCCACGAGAAAGGGTGGGTAACTTGGGTTAATTGCCTGGTCAAAGATTTTGCATTAAGTGTTTTATATATAAAATTGTATGATGAGAAAAGTAAGATCAGGTTCTGAAGCCCTCCATAGGAAGTCCTCCACAACAAAATGTTAATTCCAACACAACCCATCAAAGTACAAATTTATTTTGATGTGAAATTAGTTGCTTAGAGTATCAATGGATATTAAGTTAATAATTTTATCATCTTAAAGTGGCTTTTGAAGAAAGAATTTGAATAGTTTTTTGTTTTTAAAAAGTGACGGAGGCCTGGCCGTGTAGCTCAGTGGTTGAGCATCAACCTACGCACCAAGAGGTCGCCAGTTTGATTCCCAGTCAGGGCACATGCCCGGGTTGTGGGCCAAATCCCCAGGGAGGGGCCAAAGGAGGTGGCCAGTTGATGTTCTCTCATCGATGTTTCTATCTCTACCTCTCCCTTCCTCTCTCTAAAGTCAATACAGAAAAAAAGATTTATTAAAAAAAGAAAAATTGACTGAGGCCCAGCTGGTGTGGCTCAGTGGTTGCTGCACATGCCCAGGTTTGGGGCTTGATCCCCAGTGAGGGGCATGCAGGAGGCAGCCAATCCATGTGTCTCGTGGATGTTTTTCCCCCTCTCCTCTCTAAAAGTCAATAAAAACACCTTCTAAAAAAAGTGACTGAGGAACTTGGAGCCTATGCCTTTCTACTCAGTCCAATAAGTTCTCCAAGTTAATGGAAGTCTTCTCAATTCTTTCTCTGATCTTTTCCTGCTGACATAAAAACTAAGGACCTGCCTCTAACATTTGCCCTTCAATCTCACCCTAACACTTCAGCTACAGTGGAAATTTTTGGAACCAAATCATTAAGATATTCAAGAAACCTAAGTTCCTTTATTAAAACCTGTTACGAAGCTCTGGCCAGTTTGGCTCAATGGTAGAGTGTCGAACTGGACCAATGAGTCGTGGGGTGGATTCCGTGCAAGGGCAGGTACCTCAGTTGTGGTTGGTCCCTGGCCCAGGTGGGGGTTGTATGGGAGGCAACCAGTCGATGTGTCCCTCTTGGTTGATGTTTCTCTCCCTCTCTCCCTTCCACTCTATCTGAAGAGAAACAGAAAAATATCCTTGGGTGAGGATTAAAACAAACCTGTCATGAAAATTAGCAAATATGCATAAAAATAGTATTCAATTAGACCTTGTGTATATATCTCCCAGTTGACTATCAACCAAAAACATTTGTTTTGAATACTTGTTCCATCCAGCTGCCTCTTTTTGGTCAAAGTGTTTTAAAGAAAACCCAACACATCGTATTTCACCAGTAAATATTGCAGTATTCAGTATGATTGCTAAGAATAATTTCAAATCCATACTCAGCTTCCCCCATTGTCTAAAAATACCTGTTTTATGGTTTGTTTGAATCAAGGTTCAAACAAGGTTTTCTCATTGTATTTAGTTATGTTTCCTGCGTTTTTTAAGCCTCTTTTGGTCCAGAAAAAAGTGTGCCCCCTCTCCACACCTTAACTTTAACAGTTTTTGAGAAATAGTTCAGATAGCATAAAACTGACCCTTTTAAAGTGCACAATTCAGTGGTTTTCAGTATATTCATAGAGTTGTGAAATTGTCACCATTATTTAATTCCAGAACATTTTTATCACTCTGAAAAGAAACTTCCCATCCCCCTCCACACATCCTCTGGCAACCACTAATCTACTTTTTGTCTAGATTTGCCTATTCTGGATGTTTTGTGTAAATGGAATTACCCAAGATGTGGGGTGTTTGTGTGTGTGTGCGCGCGCGCGTGCACCCGTGCACCTGGTTTTTTAAACAGCATAGTATTTTCATCATCCAACAAATGAGGAATATTATGCAGTGCTGGGACATCATTCCTTTTTATGGCTGAATACTAATTCATTGGTAAGATATACTGAATATTGTTTATCCATTTATGAGTTGGTGGATATGCCTTTGACTGTTGAAGAAATGTCTGTTGTCTTACAGAGTGATTCACATCCTGAGTGCCTACTCCTGATGCTGTTTTGTTTGTTTCTGTTTTTCTCATAGACTTGAAAGAAACCCCACGTTCTTGAAAACATGGTTGTCAAACTTTAGGGTATAGAAGAACCACCTGGCACGCTCGCTAAAGGTGCAGAATTTTAGGCTCCATGAATTAAGAGTTTGATTTAGTGGACTCGAGGGGAGGCCTAGGAATCTTACACACATTAGTTAATTGTGATGCAAGTATTCCCAGATGATAGTTTGAGAAACTCCATCCTTAAACCAGGATTTTATTGGCACTTAACATTTCACAGGAAAGCCATAAAAGCAGCTGGTACGTCATTGCCTAAGACTTTTAAAAAGTGAAGTTAGAAATATTACTTAAAGAATTAATGAAAGGGGTCTAAGCTAATACTCTGGGTGATGTCTTCTGGGTTGGAGATAGACATTTGACAGAATGACGGTTTGCCCTGGCCAGGTAGCTCAGTTGATTGGAGCATCGTCCTGATATGCCAAGGTTGTGGGTTTGATTCCAGGTCAAGGCACATGTAAGAATCAATGAATGCAACAAATCGATGTGTGTGTGTGTCTCAAATCAATAAATAAAAATTTAAAAAGAGAAGAAATGATGGCCAGGAGAATTGTGTGGTGGATGTTACTTAGTCACCCTGGAGTGAGTGAAGTAGCCAAATTTAGCTTTAAAGGCGATGAAGCCAAATAGCCTCTATGAATTAAATTACTGCACAGGTCTTTACAGTATTGACCTCAAATTTTACAAATGCACTCAGGTTAATTAACTAATTAGAGTACTTTTGGGTTCAGGAAATTTTAATTCTTAATCTGAAGCTATTTTTTTTTTTAGGTGACCAAGAACAAAGTAAATTGTAGATATTCAAAGAGCAATCCTTTTACTCTAGAAGCGTGCTACCACAAAGCACAACCATTTTTGCTTCAACGCTTTTTCATTATATTTTCCATTATCTAAATAGAGTATTTTACAACACCAAGAACTCCTGAGTAGAAAGAGTTGTTTTCCCTTAATTTAATGACAAGAGTTTCCTTTCACTTAATAGATGAGTGATGCTTTTAAGGGTCTTTTAATGGTATCAGAGCAGCAAATGGAGTTCCATTTACTCTGTGTGCATCATTAAACCGTCACAGAAGAGGGTAATGTGGTCAAAGAAAAAAACCACCAGTGCTTTTTTGGGCTTTGAGAGAGAGAAAACAACAAAAAATGGGATTTTAGAATGTGAAAACTGAGTTTTGGCATTCAAATACATTTCCAAGGGCATTCATAGGGGAATTATCAGGGGAAAGGAATCTTTCATTCTTGAGCAACAATAAACTCAACTTCTTGAACTCACCTGACTTGTAAGGGGTGAGTGCCTACAGCGACAGTATATTTTTTAAAACTTTTTATTAGGTAAAATTTCAAGCATACCCGCAAGTAAAGAGAAGACTCATGTAAACTCCACATACTCAGCATCGAGCTTAAGCAATTAGCAATAGTTGGTCCTGCTTGTTCATCTGGCCACCTACCTTTATTTTTGCTCCTTCATTTTCAAGGAAATTTCAGACACTGCAATTTAACCTGTAAAAAATTTTAGTTTGCATTTCTAATTGATACCATTTAAAAACATAACTATATGCCATTATCGCACTTAATTATATAAAACATTATTGATTTTCTATTTTTTATTGTTGTTCCACTTATTTATGCATTCACTGGTTGCTCGTATGTGTTCTGACTGGAGATCGAATCCACAATCTTTGTGTATCAGGACAACACTAACCAACTAAGCTAACTGGCCAGGGCAACTATATATATATAATTCATTATCATGTAAGCCCTAAAACCTGGTCCTTGTTCAGATTTTCCTGACTGTCTCAAAGTTGTCCCTTTGCAGTTGATTTCTTCTAAACAAGATCCACACATA